TAACCAAATGAACGAATAAAATTCTATTGCATATCGTAATCATATGATTGTCATTTTCCTAAAACCTTACTACAATTTCATTGTTTCCTATATTCCTGCCGATTATTTTTTTATAAGATGATAGAAATAGTGCAATTGTACTGGATGTTGAAATTACATAATTATCTAATTTATAAACATTTTTCATGTACAAATACGAATTTTTGTTGGATTTAATTTTAGATACGATTTTTTATTTTAAGAGATAAATTGCCCATCAGGAAATTCTTCCCAAAAGTGCATACAAACATGTGGCCAGAAATTTTCATGATTCTGACCCAATAATATTTTTCGAGCCAACTTAACTCAACATGAAAAGAATTCGTCATGTCATATATTTGCACATTCTTAACTATTATTATCAATAATGTAAGTATAATACGTGAGTAATAAACTATTGAAGTAAGTATAACCTTGGGTAATTTTTATAAGTTATCAAATATCCACGTATGCATATATGTAGTTTTATTACAAAGATATTACGATTTTTTTAAGCTATGTTTCGATGTTTATCTGCATTAATAAAAGTTATATTTCATGAATTTTTCATTATGATATTTGTAATGTTAGTTTTTTTATGTATTTGATTATAAAGTATGATAATAACTTGTATATAAGACCATGCCAATGCTAAGAGTAGTATAAAGTATATCAATTCAAGTCAATTATATCCAATATTTTTATCATGAGAAGCATGCTCTTAATTTTGCTCGCTGCTGCTTTCATAGCAGTTTTTGGAATCATCGGAGCAAATGCTGCTCCTGAAGCTAGTCCATTTGCAAGTCCACTTGCAAATCCCCTTGCTGAAGCCGATCCCGAACCAATAAATGTAAGGATTGATTAACAATTACAATAACCCTACTAGTTTTTTTTTTATGCATACGTATATCTTATGTGATATATTGTATAATGCTTATTTACAAGAACATTCTGTAATTGAAATGTTTTTTTCTTCTTCAGTGGCTAAAGATAGGAAAGAAAGTATTGGACGTGCTTGGTTAACTTATTGTTWATTCTGAAAGTAAAAAGGAAGATGTTCTACACGGAATATAGGAATTATACTTATTCACGATAATATAAATAGCTATGTGTATTAAATCAAATAAATTTTTGAAAATTGTTAATATTCGGTATTACTTATGTAATTAAATGTACGAATAAAATTCTGTTAGATATATAAATCATATGATTTTTACATTTCAATGACCTTACTGCAATCTCCTTTTTCCCTTTATTAGATTTGTAAGACTAAAAGAATATTTAATGGAAGATGTAAGACGATGACGATTAAAATCATTAAACTGTGAACATAATTTAAGTAAGGGTTTTTGTTTTTTTTGTATAATAAATATAGTAATATGTTTAAACATTAGTTTATTTCAATGCCTAATGCTTATTTTTATGATATTTTTATCCAGTACTTAGGTAATTATATCTCTAAAATAAACTGTTAGATGTATTAATAAGAAAATGCAATATTATATGTTTTTTTCGATAAGATATTAGTTATATTACCATCATTAAATTATTGTTCGAAGAAATTGACATTCGTATGCATATATATATATAAAGTAGTACAAACGCAATTATAGAAGCCTATTTTGTTAAACACTAAAAACACAGCAAAGCAACATCATGAAAAACACGTTCTTCATTCTACTTTTTGCAACGGTTACATTCCTGGCATTCCTCGCAGTAAATGCTGAACCAATGGCTGAACTACCGCCTAACGTAATTCGACTTCAATTATGCAAATTTATCCAAGTAATTAAGTATTTTTTTCAATCCCTCTTATATCTAAATGATTTATAATATTTTTTAATCCATCAATAAGTGATGTCACCAATAAAATTATGATTGTTTTAAATGATTATATTATTATTTAAATTTTTATTGTATGATTTATGTTTTAATTTCAGATAAAGACTGGAAAGAAATTAGCACGATGTCCTTGACTTATTATTATTTCTGGAAACGAATAAAATGTCTGTCCTAAAATATACTATCAGCAATTATTTCATAATACTTATCGCTATTGCAAAAATAAATATTTCCTTTATAAGATATAAAGCCATGTATTGCATAATGAAAATATAAATATTGATAAGCACTAATATTGTTAATTCTTTACAATTCTTCTTAATCATTGTAAACTGATGTATACTACGTTCCATTAAACATATTAAATTTTTCCTTTCGAATTAACAATTTAGTATTCGATATTAATGCAACTATGTATTAAAATTTAGTACTGTTACAAAACGTGAGTTTATTTATCAGTTTTCCGGGTATTGAGCTATACAATGTTTTATCCAAGGTCTTGAAAGCTCAACTTTATTTTTTTTACTTTGAATAAAAAAAAAAAATAAAAAAAAGCAACAATGCACTATTTTGGATAAAACATTAGTACTGGTAAATATCGTGACATGTTTGGTCACGAAGAAGATTTTGGCTTGTATATATAAACCCGTCCAGATGAGAGAGTAAACATAAATAAAATAGTTTTCATTCGACGTGAAATATTATACGTAACAAGATTTCATCATGAAAAGTATCTCCATTTTACTTTTTGCTGTAGTAGCAGCTTTGGGTTTTTTGGCAGTAAATGCTGAAGGATCAAAAAAATGGAAGAAGCCACCAGGCCGCCTACCAGTAAGAAATATTTGTTTTTTAATTACTTACATTACATGTTTTTTTATGTTTCTTTTATTCGTACCTCTATGCGAAGATTATTTCATAAATATATTTAATTAATTTGTTTTTGTATTTTAGCCTGGCTTCACACCCTTCCGAAGTGGGGTTTAACCTGTAACCTGCCATTGTTTCTGAACTTAAAAAAAGGGCCCCCATTAATGTGATATATTTTATGATGACAATATAATATTCTAGAAGCATTTAATCTTATGCATTTATTTTTATTCTCCTTATTCACTCTTAATTATATTCATTCACGATACGACGTAAAATCTCATGAGATATTTCGTTTTAATATATGCTAATAGCTTTTAGAATTGACGTTGTTAATTTTACTTTTTTTTTTTGTGGTCTTCATTTCTATGAAATAAAACGATGAACTAATTATTGAATATTCAGCATAGTTTTAAGCTATTTCTCAATGTTAAGAGTCTCGCGCGTGGCTGGATCAAAGTTATTAATTATTTAGTTTAGTCGCATATATTCTATTTATTTTTTTTTATATGCGTCGGTAGATACGCGATGTAATAAATTGTATTATAATTATTTTTTCAAATAATTTTTCATTCTTGCTTAAGCCAAGACAGAAAGCGTGAATAATATATGCGGTTATCCTACACCGTTGTTGTGTCCTAAATAAAAAATAAATATCTTTTACAAAATGTAAGACATATATTACATAATAATAATATACAATTATACGAGTATTAACTATCGTAAATACATTTTAATCCTACTTTTTAGCAAAATATATAAAATTAGCATACCCATTGTACAAAATCAAATGTTATGGCCACGTAAACTAAATTTAAATGTAACACACGTGATCGTTAATAATATAATAGATAGGAAAAAAAGAAAAGAAAACAAAAATTTTTTAAATATCCTTGGTTTTCATTACTTTTGTTATCTGTTATCTACCAATGTATATTTTAATGGCACTTTTATCACGTGTCTCGTGATTTACATATCTAAAATTATGCTAAATAATGGAAGTAATATTGCGCGTTCTTCGTTAGCGTACTGGTTAATGTCAGTATCGTGATATGTTGAGTCACGAAATAAATACTAAACGCGTATATAAGACCATGTAGAAATCCAAGAAATAACAAGAAAGTATTTTTCTTGACGTCAAATATACGCAGAAACTTTTTATCATGAGAAGCACGATCTTGATTCAACTTGTTGCTGCGATAGTAGCTTTGGGATTTTTTGGAATGAATGGCGAACCTGTAGCTAATCCATGAGGCTATTGCCTAAGCTCACGTTGATCCGTAACCTGGCGTAAAAATAAGTAAATTTAAAAAAAGAAAACAAAACAAAAATCTGTATAACACAATTGTTTTTCTATAAACACTGAACAAATTGAAATAAATTTTATATTTTATTTAATATATAATTAGCTAATAGATAAAAACACGAGGAAATTTCAAGGGGAAAAAGGAAATAAATAAATCACTTACTTGAAATAAATGAAACGTACCTTATTGAGAGATACCAGACAAGATAGAATATAATAGAACAAATAAAATAATACTTTTCCAATTACCTTACTACAATTTTCTTTTTTCCAATATTTTATTTTATTATATATATTTTCCAACGGAACAAAAATATTGGTAATTTTTATTAAATCTTTAAAAGATTATGTGAGAGATAAGAAAATACTCTCTTTACTTAACTATTGGGTGATCTGTATTTATTTAATCAGATCTCGAAATATAGAAAACCTAAATATATTTATTTGCCAACAAATTTTCATGATATTCAGTAACGTAAATATAATGCGTAAGTAATAAACTATTGAAGTTAGTGTAACTTCGGTTAATTTTCATAAGTCACTTAACATGAGTTTTTTTTTATAATAAATATAGTAATATGTTATAGTATACTAATGCTTATTTTCATAATATTTTTTATCCTGTATTTAAGTAATTATATCTCTAAAATAAACTGTTAGATGTATTAACAACAAAATGCAATATTATGTTTTTTCGATAAGATATTAGTCATTAAATTAGTGTTCGAAGAAATTGACATTCGCATGCATATATATATATATAAAGTAGTGCAAACGCAAGTAATTACAGAAGCCTATTTTGTTAAACACCAAAAACACAGCATAGCAACAACATGAAAAACACGTTCTTGATTTTACTTTCTGCTATGGTTACATTCCTGGCATTCTTCGCAGTAAATGCTGAACCAATTGCAGAACCATTGGCAAGTCCAAATGCTGAGCCTTTGAGGAATGCTGTAAGTATTTGTCATTAATTATATACATTCAATTAATTTTTAGAAAATGTAATTATTATTTATACTATTATTATTATCCTTAGAAAGATCATCTTTTGTATGAACGAAAATATGATAAATTTCTTCTATTTCAGTTAATGCAACGAATTATAAAGAAACTCAAGGGCTAGCTGCTTTTCATTATTTCCAAAAATACGTTCGATACTCTTTATAGAAGATATAACACATGTATTTAAACACATCATGATGATATTATATAAATTACTATGAGTATTAAATCTGTTGTATATTCTTAATCCCTTCCTCCACGTTGTTTCTTAATTATATAAACGAAATAATCTTTTGATAAAAATATTTACAATATTATCAATTTCTTGAACAATGTCTTGTTAATCTATTTGCGCGTCGTGTACAATAATAATTTGCAATGAAAATAAATTTAAATTAATAATCAATATTCTTGTCCCAACAGTATATTAATATATATGAGTTTCAAAGGGAAAATTGAAGACAG